TGTGTAATGTAATATTTTCATATGAAAACTTTTAAAAGACAATGATGCTACATTGCACTAAGTTTAAAGTTATGACAGTGAAAAATGCAAGTGAAAGCGAAAAAATGCTAGACACTTTTTTCTGAAACGTTCTTCATTCTGCTTGATTTTTTTCACAGAATATTTTGGGGGGTTTTTTCCTGATCACATAAAGACAAAAAAGGTTATGACCTTCCTCCTTTCCTTCCCTTTTGCAATAGAATAGCTTTGTAAGGAAAGACTAAAGAGGGACATGGAAGATGGAAAATGGGACAAAATGCAGCCTGGCTTTATCCAAGGAAGATCATGTCAGATGAATTTAACATCCTTTTATGATAGGTAACAGACTTCTTAGATAAGGGCAATGCAGTGGAACTAATCTATCTAGATTTAAGCAGCGCATTTGGTACTGTGCATCATGGGAAATTACTAAGATGGCAAAAATGGGGATTAACATTAAAATTTTAAGGTGGATAAGGAACTGGCTAAAGGGGACACTGCCATTTCTATAAAATCAGATTGAAGAGAGGCTACTAGCAGTATTCAGGAAAGGTTGAAAGAACTAGTATTTAGTGTAGAGCAGATTTAAGGGGGATTTGATAACAGCCTAGATGTTTGAAGGGCACTTGTAGAGAGGATGGAGATAGATCAGGACTGTCCAATTAGTGGCCCATGGGCCACAAGTGATCCCTTAGGGATTAACATTTGGCTCCTGGACTCCTGCCCCCACGGCTCCACAGCATAGGTAGCCAGAGTGACTTGGCTCCCTTTCCACCCTCCTGCTTCTGCTTCCTGCTTGTGCTCCTGGGGTGGGATGGTGCTGGACGGCAAGAGCATGCTGCATGTGTAGCAGGGAGTAATCTGAGCCGGCTCAGATTACTCCCTGCTACAGGTTTGCTTTGAGATACAAAGACATTTTCCCTCTTCTGTAAACCCCCTGGCTGGGTGGGGCCAGTTAGGATGCTGGGTGGGGCAGCCACAAAGTAGGTTAGTAAAGGCACAGGCACCTTGTCAGACTTTCTAGATGCTGGAGACCTACCTACAGCTGAATGCAAAAGCTATAGAAGGCTTTTGTTTGGAAAGGCAAGGAGTAAACTATGAAGAGATGTAGCATGCCTGTTTAGCAGTTAATGCAGAACTGGACGCGAAAAACAAGCTTTACAGGTGGCCCCCGGAGGGCTGCTTTCTTTTGCAATGTGCACCATAGTATAGTATTATTTTTGTTTTGAATCCTGTTTTGTGACACTGACAAACCCCACATGAAATGCACTGCAAAAGAGGTAGAATCCTGAAGCCGTTTTGTCAATCAACTTCAGAAAACCTACTTTGTTAGGGAAAAACTGAGATCATAAAACTTTGAGCAATGTATTGTTGTCTATTGCTTTCCCTCTTTCTGTACCTGCCATTACAATAAACATGTCTGCTGCACAATGAGTTTGACGTTTTAGCGCTTCTGTGGTGTTGACATCTTGATCATTGAGTCTGAGGTGATCTGTGGCAGGCAGAAAGAGACAGAAAGAGCACTTCCAAGAGGGGGAAGGCTGCAGGGATGGCTTATGGCTGTGGGATTTGATACTGCAGAAAAATAAAAGCAGCACTGCTTTAAGTCTCTAGCATAGACAGTTACCATTTAATTGGGGAGGGGAGCAATTAAAAGCTGGATAGAGGCTTCAAGCTTTGCTCAACTGAGTGCCACACAGCTTAAACTCAGAAAAAAAAAGATGTTTATATTCTCTTATGCACTTGTACGGTTACAGCAATTGATATACTTTATGGGGATGGCTCCTCTGAAGCAGTTTCATTGAGACTGCTGGTAGAGCTTCCCTCTACAAGTCGTACTGTGGCCGTGTTCACGGGTTCTTGTCTGAGTTCTAAACTTACTACGTTGTACAGCCCTTGGCTGCCAAGACAAAACAATCTCCTGATTGGATACTGTGATATGCATGGGAGGTCACAGGAACTACCTGTGGGATCTTGAATACTTTATCAGTAGTCCAGTGTGATGGCAGCACCAAGAACAATACAACTCTGTTCCTCATAACATGGGCAAATAGTGTGAACATTATTAGTTTTTGTCGTCGCTCGTCTCTGGGCACGTCTCCCTCTTTTCTTTGGCTCAGCACTGTGACAAGCCCCAGGTACGCCCCTTTCTTGTTGATAACTCTTTTCCAAATGGAACTGGATGTGCAGCTACTCAGAGGGGAGCCCAGTCCAGAGTTTTGCAGATGTGTGTGCAGAAGCTGAGCCAGTCATGGGTGCTTTAATGGTATATGAACTCACCTGTGCCTGGTTGCAAGATGCAGTTTGCATGGCTAAGTGCTGGCATTTAAATAGGGATATGGCATTTGGGCAAGATGACCCACAGCAAGGAAGGGCACACAGCTACGTCAAGCCATAATACAGAACAATGCTGCAGGACAGGAGTGGGAAGACTGCCAATGACAAAGTAGTTGGGAGTGTGTCCACATGAAACTCAAAGCAAAGACATTCACTGCCAAGCAGAGCTACTCCTGTCCCGAGGAGGATTACTTATTGCAGACTAAGACACCAAACAATTTGCTTTAATGACAGATTGTGTGTGAATGTACAGTACTGTAGGACAAACTATAGCTACTCCAATGTAACATCTGTGGCCCTAGAGTATATTTCTGTTGCTTCTCCATCAGTGGTCTGTGACCCAACAGTACAATATAATCAACATTAAGTAAGAGCATAAAGTGTTCATTTTCTGCAATACTTTGACATAATGGAGTATATTAAATAGTCTTTAATACTTGATGCTTGAGTTGGATTTTCTTGGCACCTAATTTAGTGGCTGCTGTTAAGTTTGGGAATTTCACAGTGGAACAAAGCACTGGTAGCAGCAGTTGATGCTGCCCCAGTACACAAACTTAATATTAACTCAGAACTTCAATATGTAAGTCATCAGGCTGTCCATGAGATGGAGGCCATCACTTTTCCCCCTTGTGTCACAGCCTTCTAGTTCAAAGAGCAAATTAAACAGATAAACTTTTTGTAAACACCTTATCATTTTAAGTTAGTTTTTGCATCAACCCACAAACTTAAAAGAACAACTATTCAACCACAAACTTAGCAATCCTTTTTAATAGGAAAGGGAGACCTTAACTTCATAATCAACTTTGGAATATGTGATTGTGGATGCTGATTGCCCCAAAGCCATGTTCCCATTGGATTTCTAGGCCTTTTAACATGGGTGCAGTCAGGAAGAACGTAATAAAGACATTCCATATTTTGTTTTCCTCTTTATTTCTTTAAGGAAATACTCAAGTTGAGCTACACTGCCAAAGCTGTTAGGCCTATCTTTCCCACCTAGCACTATCAAACTTTTCTCTCTGCTTCCTGTATTCTCCAGACTTTTGATTTTATTGCAAATAACATTTATGTTGTAAAAAAGCCCCACTGTTTCTCTAATACATGTTAATGAGACAGCACCACAGTCACTTTTTAGTAGCTAAAAAATTTAACTTCTGAAGCCCAGGTGATTAGGAGCATTTTGGTTGATACACTCTCAAATTCATGTTTGCAGTAAACATTAAAGCAACTCAGCTACTTGAAATATGTATCAAGTGGGCTGAGTTTTAGAGAGATTTGGATGCCCCTTCACTGACATCCAGGTGAGGCATTAAACAACAAAGAAAAGGAGGTGGCATAACAGTAGAGAAACATCGTTTATAAATATTTTCTGTATTAGTTCTTATTCTACTATAGTATAGCATCTGCCTTCTTTATCAGAGCATTTTATATGCTTCTGGGTTAGTTTGCAGTGAGAGGATGTGTCCCTTTCCCCCTTAACCAACACATGCACGTGCTTAATAAAATCTCAACTACCATGAAATTTTAAATTAAACAGCCATACTATAGTGGCCACAGTGATAGTAAGAGGCAGGTATCTACAACAGGGACCCATCCTTATGCCAACCTACTTTGTAGCTATTTAAGTTGATAATACTTGGGTCTGCTTGAGACCAAGGTAAGATCCACTGAAGCAAAGCGACTTCCATGGTCCTGACTAATGTTTTGTACAATGGCAACCAGACTAATTGCTGGTCACCACTAGCTTTACTTGTGGTAAACCCTTTATGTAAGAGCATACTCAGGACCCTGAAAGGTCTGACAAAAGCCCAGAATTACACACGCTGTTCTGACTTGTTGCCTCATACCCAGAGTGAAAAAACATGGTTTTCTTGCCTATGTTGTTTCTCTTTAACTAATACAGTTATGGAAGTTGGGGGAAATATCCCTGATAAATTACTAAAATTTTACAGAATATCAAGAATAATTGCCCTGAATTTCAAAAACTCATGTAAAAAATGGAACTCAGTGGGGTTTTTGAAGCTTTTTTCATTTAACCAATAAGCTGCCCACAATTGTTCTACAACTTTCACTACAGTTTTTTTCCACCACTTTAGTACTATACTTTCTAGCCTAGACATGAATTTTACATAAATTCAAAGCTCACTAATTATTCTGGCTTTATCAACCACTTTATTAATGATCATTAAAATAATCTTACTTAGTAAGAGATTGTTGTACAAAACTCCCATCTTTTCTATTTACTTTGACTATTAATGGCCTCCTTAATGTTTATACATTAGTGTAAGGAATAGTGTTAGCATTATTCTAGTGCAAAATAAAACTAGCTGTATCCATTATAAGTGCATTACTGCCAGGAATTGTAAATATGTTTTTGCCTGATAGCCTTTTGACTCAATAATATCCTGCTATCTCTGTTGGACAGGCAAGTTTTTAAATCAAGAAAAGACAGGTTATGATTTTCATAGCCAAATGACGTTTCTTTTTCAACTATGTTGGCTAAATCCAAATTTAAAGAAGATAATTTAAAAAAAAATCTGTGTGGTTCTAAAAGAGAACAATTGAAAAATCATCTTCAAAACGGTGGTAAGGATGTGCACTTAGAGCGCAGCTACTCCTCCCAGATACACACATACGCAGACAAACCCTGCCATATCATACCATACAAACAATTTTAATTGTGTAGTTACAGTCAATAACCACTCCTAGTCAGAACATTTCTGCATAAAGAAAATTGTGATACACTTATAAAAACAGCCAGCTGTAACAAAATAACTGGTGTTTTCATAGCAATAAACTCATAAAAAAGAAATACACCTTTATACAGAAAATTTATACAGCTATAGCTTTAAAATTGATTGTAAACCAAAGGAAGACACATTGCAAACATCAATTATTTTCACATTAATTGCATAAGTTTCTAAGGTGATCTATTAGTTTTATTTACCTAAGCTTATTTGCATGATAGTAAAAATTGCATACAACAATTAGAGTGAAGCTTATAGTATGAATTGCTTGGATAACATAGAGCACTTTTTATAGGCAACTGTGTAAAGCACATTTTCTCTATTTAAAACTTTTAAGACACTTTGTTTTACTGCCCATCAAAATACATTTATAAATAGAAAAAAAAAATCAGTATGATAACAAGAGAAGCAATATTACATTTAACGGAAACTTCCAAAAAAATTAATTACAACATGATGCTGCAGGATCTACAAATAAATAATGAGGACTAAATTGTGTTTCACATTTTCTTTTCATTTTTTTAAAAATCATGTAACAATGAGAATGGAAAAAAAATACAGTGACCTTTATTTCCAAAAGAAAACAAATCTGAATTACGGCAGTGCCATATAATACAAGGCATTTGTTGGCATATGTTATCTTTAAACTGCATTCCACAGTCTATAGTTCTTTTGTAACATACAATAGAGCAAGAGTAACAAACTCTTTTTTTTAAATAAACGTGAGTTTCAAAGATCAAGTGTGGAGTGTTACAGTAATCATTTAAAAAAAATGAAACAATAAATCACAAAAGTTGTAATGCTTGTCTGAAGGCTCCAGAATCAAAATCACTGGTATCATGCTTATTGGGTACACTCACACAGCGTACCAGTGAACACAAATTAATATCAAACAATCCTCAACGCTTCATCTGTAGCTGCAAAGCAGTTTGTAAAACAGAGTAAAACATCTAGTGCAGTCTGCATTATCCTTTTTTCAACTTTTGTGCAAGTTTTGGAAGATTCATTGGCCAAACAATGAATAATAAAAGGTTTTTGACAGAATGCATGATGGAATTTTCATTTCATTAGTAAATACCAGTGGCACTGTTGAATGAAAATAATACTTTTAAAATCAGTCTTTCAACTCAGCATTAAGCTCTGTGTTCCCTTCTACTGATAATTCTTCTTCTAGTTTAACTGAAAAAAGCGTGTTTGCATTTTTGTCTTGGATGCTGTCTTCTAAATCGTTAAGCAGCTCCTCTTCCTTGTATTCTGCAACATCCACCTCTAAACCAGAATTGTCCTTCAGCTTCCCATGGTGCTTGAGATAATATCGCTGGTTCTGAAAGAACTTGATAATGGTGTACTTGGGTAGGTCAAGCTGAGCGGAGAGAGTCTGAATTGCTTCTTCATCTGGATATAGGCCTACGTCTTGTATGAAACTCTGTAGGATTCCCAGGGCTTCAACAGAAATCTTTGTTCTAGGTCGGGGTTTCTGACGATTTTCATCCTCAGATTCAGCTGGTGACGCAACTGTAGGCTGTCGTGGGGGTAGTCTGGGACCTGGTTGTTGCTGTTGCTGCTGCTGCTGTTGTTGCTGTTGCTGCTGCTGCTGTTGTTGCTGTTGCTGCTGCTGTTGCTGCTGCAAGACAAAGCAAACATGTTTAATGTATTTTTGCTGATATTTTTATCATCCCAAAAATATAGAGAACAATTTACCAAGGTAGAACTAAAGACTCGGGGGGGGGGGGGGGGGGGGGGGGGGGGGGAGAAAAAAAA